TGCAACAGGTTAATAAGGGGAAGGTACACTCTGAATGGCCATGTAGTGCTCAGCCTAAGCTCTGTCACCAAATCCCACCCCTGGACTCCTGTGACCAATGCTCCAGCAGCCACTCTGACAGAGACTGTTTCTCTTCCCTTGGCTAATTTGGAGCTTGAAATCATCACAGCAACACTATAACCATGCTGAGGGTGGTATCAGCTGAGGGGTTTAGGACAAAAGTGCCTTCATAGCCATGTGAAAGGCAGCGGTGAAACTGAGTCAATAACCACCATGCTGTTACAGGCTCAGAGCAGTAACTGCAAGACTTGAAATATTAAACATCCCTGTAAGGCTGAAGATTGCTGCATTAGGTACACCTAAAGTTTAGCCTACCTCTAAATATGAGACCAAGAGCTACAATACATAACAACCCTGCCAAAAAAAAAGCCATTCTGCATATGCACCTTTTGTTGCATTATAAAGAGAGCACCCGAGTGAGAGTACCTTTACTCTGCGACAAGAACACACTTGCATTGGAGTGCATCTCCCTCTCTCCCCTCTGYGTACACCCTATTYCCACCTGACTACAAAACCCACTACRCTGAAAGCCCCCTTCACAGAGAATTACTCAATTCTCAGATGCTTTCAGTTCCTCTCCCTCTGAAAAGCCTTCTGCACAGCTCACCTCTTGAAAAACTCAACAAACGGAGCAGTGTTTCCAGCACCACCTAACCCTGCACCAATTTATGCCAGATCCTGCAGCTTCTCAGCTCCAAGCCTCAAAGAGCCCATCCTGCAGTTCACAAAGCACCAGCGAGAGAGTCAGGAGCCTCTCCCCTCAACAAATGAATGACTGCAGAAGAACAAYGCTTCAAAAATTTATATCACTTGTTGTTAGCCAATAACACCTCCAAGTTTCATGCAGAATATGCATTTATTACAGTGCACTAAGAGCCAAGAGAACTTACCAAAAATCTACAGGGGTAAAGTTAACAGCAACAACCCTCTACGGACAGGCACAAAACCAAAAGAGCTCCCGCAGAAAACTGAGGTTCAACTGAGAYTGAAAATGTGATGCAGCTGTTTGGAACGCAAAATGTGGAAACAAGTGCTGTTCATCACTTAGTGTTACAGGTTTGTTTAACAGACAAGAACAAGAGGCAGAAGTAGCCTCCTCACAGCTCTCTGAAGGGGGGTACCTAGTGCTCCAGTAGAACTGTGATGGGTGTTTCCTCTCTTCCCACTCCATGAAGGTGCCTCTCATATTTCACAAAGCTTCTGCTGCAGGCATGTGTGAACACAGCACTGATGCTCATTCCAACTGCCATGGCTGAGAACACAGCACACTATTACACAGCCATCTAAATGTGTGCCTGCAACATTTATTTCAGATCCAAAATATAAAAGTAAAAAAGTTGGATGTAAAGCACACACTGTGTGAATACCACATGCCATTTCTATAGGATGTTYCTTTCATTGTCCTGAGAAATAAAAYGCTCRCACAAGGTTGGAAAATGTTTGTCCACTAATTCCTACTGGCCATAAAGGACAGGAAYAGCAATAGAACGGGAATTCTCAGTGCACCACAAAGGTGATAATTTACAAGTCTTAAAGGATGACACCCTCTGACTGCTGAGCAACAGCCTGATGAGAAATAGTTGAGACCTTGAGTAAACCAGGCTTGTCAGAAAAGATGCTCCTTTCAAACCCAACCTTGAAGGTGGGATTACACAGCTCTCCATAAAATGATAGATTGCCACTTTGAAGGCACCAGGCTAAATGTAAGYATGACAAAATGTCTCTCAAAGAAGTCCCCAACTAGCAAATAAATTAGAAGATAAAAACAGCTATCAGTGTTGCMGCTGAACAATGGGGTCCTGAGCTCAACAGCAGGTGAAAAGCAAATGACAGTCTAAGGATTAGAACCTTGAAATGCTTTAAAAAATAAATAAATACTGCCACACTGCAAAGCAYAGGATGATTTTGCAGCAACCATCTTGGGACAAATGAAGCTCTCAYAAAAACACAGAAATGTACAGAGCCACTTCTGTTGTGTCCCTTAACAGCAAAACATTGAAGAGAGCCTCAGAGAGYACAACATCTAATGTCCTGCAGTATCTGTGTGAGGCTGTGCAYGCACTGCCAACACGAGCTGCACTCAAGAGCTGCACACCTGCCATCAGTGCTGACCTTGCAGAATGCACTCAGAGCACACTGGAGAGAACCTGAGCTCTACAACAGCAAGAGGAAAGGGTCACAGCAGCACCTAAGGAGACACAGAGCAAACCTGTTAACTCCTCTCAAGCATAAGCATGACCACAATGTAGAAGCCATGTTTACAGAAGGAACTACTATATTACCCTTGCTCATCTACAAAGACAGTAAGTAAAAGGTAAATAAATACACACATTGCCACACAGATGTGGGCATGGAGMTAGGCCTTGAACACTTTAGTTCACTACTAGGTACAGGAAAAAAGGCAGTAGTCATCTCAACTTATMAAATCCTGAACAGAAACTCATGATTTACTAGAGGTACTCACAGTTCTCCCCCTCCTACCCACTATCAATACCCAGATGAGCAGACACAAATGATGTGAACAGAAGTTCTGCAAGAAACGAGGCATTTTAAAGTAAGATCAATAGAACCAYGTGCAGCAGTACCAGACAACAGGGAAATGGTTTCTGTTTTCCCAGTAGGAAGAAAAGAAAAAAGCTCCTAACCAGGTAAAGTTTCATTGTCTGGACAAGGGAGCCTCTAAACACCACCTCTCTGAAAATTCATGGGAAAGAAAGGAAAAGAAGAAATTTTGATAATTTAAATGCTTTCAGAATATGTAATTAAAGCATTCTCAACTTACAAGATGAAAACTGGACTGGCATGATTTTCAAGTTCAAGAAGCATTAAAGTACATTTTACCTTTATCAAAGCTCATTCAAAAGTTGGGTTTCATTAAAATTACAAGGATGCAATTAAAAAAAGCCCCAAGCCCAAGTTATTAATTCAAGCATATGAAAAACAGGACTACTGTAACTGAAGACAATCTGCAGAAACAAAGCCTCTTACAACAGCCCATTTTCTGATCCTTGATATTCATACAGTTCCATCAATCAAAMTAAAAATCTAGGTCATCAGTATTTCCAGCCAGGATGCAGGGCAAAACCAGCATATCGTAGGAAACAAAGATTTTCTGCAAAGGATGCAGCATATATCTGGTAAAGCTTCTGACAGGCACTTCAGAAAAAACTTTAATCCTTTCCTACTCCACCCTAAATAACAGTTAATTCCAATCTCAATACCTCTGCACATACCCTGAAATCAAAGGAAGAAGGGCAAAGCAGTATTTTTCTGCCCACAAAGAATCCTGGACTGAAATTTTTTTATATATACACTACTCCTAACTCTATCTTTAAAAAAAATTAATGTTCTTTTATAGTCTTAATCTATCTCTTATATCCATTTTTCTAAATTGGACTGTTGCACATCCACCCACCCATATTCTGAAAACAMATCTGCCACACAGGACTGGCTCAGAGTCAGAAAAGATACTGTCACAATCAAGATTTCAGCCAGAGCATCACAAACACAATTTTACCATCCAAATCTGCCCTGTGAAAGGTATTGTGAAATAAATTGGTATTTTCCTGTCTTTAAATGCAAGAAAAGGATCTCAGCATAGAATCCACTGACACCCACGGACAAGATGAAGAATTTCAGATGTAATCCAAGATAAAGATGCTGCCTAAAACTCCTGTTTCTGGGAGACCAGTTATACTTCAAAAGATGAACAGCATAACAAAAGATAGGGAAGGGATTACCAAGGGTTGTGGGCTCCAGTCCTTTGAAAAGGAAGGAGAGCAGGGATGGAGCACCAGCCATGGCACAGAGCATCTGCCAGGGAGAAAAGAGGGACTCAGTCACCCCCCTGGGACACTGAATGGGACACGTCCTTCCCCAGGACCACCCCCCACCCTTAAATGGAGGAGGACTGCAAAGGCCCAAGGAAGGGGTGGAAGCAAAAGCAGCCTCCCCTACTGCAGAGTTAAGAACCTGTACATAGTTATAGCAGGGTATAAGATGTTCTTATACAGCTAAGGGAGTATTCCCACCAAGAAAGCTTCCACRACAGTTTTACCTACATTGGGTTCTTCACATCACTGACATGTTGCTCCTGGAAACTTGGAATAATTGTTCTAACCTGCTAATGGGGAACACTTCAGGTCATGCTAAGCAACACAGCCAGCATTCTCTTGGCTTTTTGATCCACTTGTTCCTCTAWTTCTCCTGGTCTTTTACTCAACAGCCACAGCCAGCAAGCTACTGGTAAGCCCAAAGGTCTCATTTCACTACCAAAGTCAGTCCTGGACAAGGTCTCGTTTGCCACTTTGCTGGAAAAGTGACTCCTAGTGGGAAGCTCAATGGCCCAAGGACAGCAGGGGAACAACCAGAGCTTTGTAGCAGTTTYACTCCAGCTCCTTGACTCACTCTCTCAGTCWCTACCCTGACCCTTGACTTGAAACAGAARTACTGAAATATAATTTGCATCCAAATTAATTTCTGTGGAAGCATTCTCTTGCAGTGTGCAGTTACCATGGGGAGACAGAAGCCAAGYATTAAAAAAGTCAAAGCCAACACTCAGGCATGGCAGCAGAGCAAAGAGGCAGGTACACTGACTTGGCAGTGCAGTAAGAGGAAAGAATCTCAACAGACCTAGCAGAGGAGCAAAACACGGCCAAAAGGAAGAAATATATCTGAAAAAAATTTCAGAGCTCACAGAATGTTTAACCTCATTTCTGGCAACTGGGAGGCTGTGTTATGAACCATATGCACTACAGAGTGAGAGTCTATATCAATACTATCTCTATATCAATACTGACATATTTGTATTAAGATTTGCCAACTACATTTCTCAAACAAAACATGAGGAAGAGCTTCTTGTCCTTGACCTATCACCCTAGTGGGATCAAGTACACCTGGCCTAACACAATCAAGAGCCCGAGAGAATTCTAATTACTTACATGACACCTTGCAGGACTTTTTGGGGATCGAGGTCAAACAACCGATCGACATAGTGGCGGCTACTGGCTGTGACCTCCTGCAGAGAGAGAATAAACAATTGCAACAGTTTATATCAATTCATAGAATGGCTTTTGCAGCAAGTCTACAAAACCTCCCAGGTAAGAGGCAGGCAACCCATAGAATCGTATTCAAACGTGGAGTGTGTTACTGGTGGGCAACATCACACAAAGATAATTGTGTTCAAGTATGATCTAGAGAAGATGAGCGGCTTAATACAGATAACAACATGGTAAGTGTCAAAGCAAGTTAACAGAGTGCTATTTGTGAACTGCAGTTATCAGCACTGCCTTGAATTGCAATTTTACTATGTTTAATTACTATGTAGAATAAAAATTAATTTCTAKAAGAAAAAGTCTCAAAGAGCAGTTGATGTTGCTCAAGAACCATACCCACAAAAAAGGTCTCCAAAAGAAGGAAGCTCCTAACAAAGATATTTTTCTGTAACTTTGTCACAACATACCCACATTCCAGAGCCTGCCCCACATACCTTCAACAGCAGCACAGTATTCCCTACCACATTCCCATAGTGCTGTRTAAGACAAAGCAAACTCTCTTCTCAGCAACAGGACCATGCTTGCAAGCTTATGCACCACTGATTTGTTATTCCTTTTGAGAAGATCCAAAGTCGGAGATGGCAAACGTTCCAAAATATGAGGGTGGGAAAAGAGAAGGGAATTTTCCCTCCAGGTTCTCACGAACACGTGCCAGGTTGCATTTCCATTATCTCACCTCTTTTTTCCTTTTTGCCAGCTCTCTTTTCATTAAGCTTTGCCCATTTTTCCCTTGTGAATTTTCCAAGAGAGAAGCTCTAATGGAATTGAAAACTCTTCCTTGCTTTAGCAAGTATCTGCTCAGAAGGTCAATGCTCCCCCACTCTCATGTCAGAGCCACCAGCAGCTTCTTGCCTGTGGTCTCACATCACAGAGAAGAATCATCTATAGGCAGCAGGGCTCCTTTGTCTCCAGGAACACTACTAAATGATGCCACATCCTATAGACACACTTCCACCGTGAAACTAAAGACAGTATTTTTGAGACCAGCAGTAGACCTTTAGCTACCTGACCTATGCATTTACATGCAGAACTTTTCTAGACTTCGAAGACCCCCCAGCTTTCTGTTTCCAAAATATCCTGGCTTCCACCCCATCAGCTGCGAGRTCTGCAATACGTAAAAGGGCATTCATACCCAGGCAGTCCCCGATAAAAAGAATTTATCAACATAATCAGTTTCACGGATCTCTTCGCCAACATTAATTTTTTAGGGCACAGAAGGAAAAGCGCCAGCCCTCAGCTATTGCGGCAGCACCCGGACTGCAGCTTTTGCATCGCTACTCCGAGCACCCGTGCGATGCAGCAGGACCGCTGTGCYCCCTGGGCCGTTCCCGGAGAAGAGAAGGTGGCTGTCACAGGCTCCCGCAGCACGGCGGTTCCTCCCTGCCGCAGGTGCCAGGACGCCGCGAGCAGAGAGCCCCGGTTCCGGCACCGGCAGTCCCCGCTCCGGAGGGGGCTGGGAGCACACCTGGGAGACCCTGCCCTGCTCCGCAGCCCCRGGCTAAGGGCAGCACCGACAGCGCCAGGGCCCTCCATGTGCCGAGCAGCAGCTGCCCGGGGCCGGTGAGCCCGAGCCGTGTCAGCARCCAACGACACGTCCAGAGCGCCGGTGCCTCCGCAGCCACGGAACGGGCTCCTCGCGGAGGAAAAACCCGCGCCGGGCGAAGTTGCGGCGCGGGGGACAGAGGGAAAGAGCCCGGCCCCACCGCCCGCGCCGCTCCTGCTCCCGGCGCAGTCCCAGGGCCGCTCCCGGCGCCGCCGGACGGCGGGGCCTTRCGGGGGCCAAGGTCAGGCGGGGCCCGGCCCGCGGCACTCACCGAGAGGACGCTCATGCGGAGCGGCGCCTCCAGCACACACGCCATCTTGGCGGAGCGTTCCGGCACCGGCGCCGCCTCAGGCCGGCGGGCGCGGGCTCATGGCGGGCGCGCGGCGGGCGGGGGCCGGGGGTAGCGGGGCGGGCCCAGCG